TACGTATTTTGATTAAAAGGTTTAATACAGATTTTGCCTTGTTCTGGGTTACATCTGTATGTTAATCAGTAGCATATTTAAATAAGGAATATGGAAGGGGAGGGGAGGTATTATTGATGATAAATGTTTTTAAGGTTCAGGATATGGTTTGGGTAATTATACATCAATAGATTGATTATTACATAATGCCCATAAATACAAGAACAACCCGATAGACAGTTAGATAAGAAGATAGAGAAATATATCGATAAAGCGATATATAGATAGATGAAAATACAGATACATAGATAAATCAATAGATTGATAGATAAATCAATAGATTGATAGATAAATAGATCGATAGATAGATCGAAAGATAGATCGAGAGATAGATCGATAGATAGATCGATAGATAGATCGATAGATCGATAGATAGATCGATAGATAGATCGATAGATAGATCGATAGATAGATCGATAGATAGATTGATAGATAGATTGATAGATAGATCGATAGATAGATCGATAGATAGATCGATAGATAGATCGATATACATACTACATAGATTGACGGAAAGTTTGAAAAGCTAGATAAATAGATTAGATAGATAGATCGATATACATACAACATAGATTGACGGAAAGTTTGAAAAGCTAGATAAATAGATTAGATAGATAGATCGATATACATACTACATAGATTGACGGAAAGTTTGAAAAGCTAGATAAATAGATTAGATAGATAGATCGAGTAATAGATAGATGAATTGAAATACATAGATTGATGGAAAGTTTGAGAAGCTAGATAAATAGATTATATAGATAGATCGAGTAATAGATAGATGGATAGATAGTGAGGATGTATTGTGTCTTTGGTCTCACGCAAAGTCACGACATTAAGTTGAATGATGTAGAAAAGTCTTTACAATAAATATGGATGGGTTGTTAGGGAGGAGGGAAGATATTGCCGATTGAATTGATGAATTAGTTGATTAAAATGCTAAAAGGATTGGAGAATGGAGGGAGGAACAGGAAAATGATTTAATGCATTGATTGATGAATATGTTTAAAGATAGGATGAATAGGAAAATGAATGGATGAATTAATTGATGAACATGATAAAAGATTGGAGGATGGAGGTTGAAATAGGAAAATGAATTAATGAATAAATTAATGAATATGTTTAAAGATTGGAGGATGAAGGAAGGAATAGGAAAATATATTGATAAATAAATTATTGAACATGATTAAAGATTGGAGGATGGAGGAAATATATTGAAATGAATTAATGATTTCTGAATAGAGGGGAGAATATGAAAATTGAAAATATGAATTAATTAATAATTAAAGGGAGTGACCGGCAACGTAAGGTGGTTGAACTGAGTATGCAGAATTGTGAACAAATTTTTAAAGATTCATTGAAGACATATAAAATGTTTCCACGATGTGAAATTACTGAGTTTGAGCGCAAAGTCGACGTTTAACATCATGAATTTGGGTGGGTAAGCATTCAGAATCGTTTTTTTTTTAAATTATTAACGACGACAGCAAATACAGTAAAATTATACAGTAAACTAATTAAATGTTTAGGAACATATTTCTTAAAAGAAATTGCCAATAAATCAAAGTTGGAATCAATTATTTCGTTTTCATCATTATATTAAATTTCTTATTTTCTGTGAATTTATTCGGAGATTTTTACAAATTCTTAAAATTTCGTCTTTTCAATTAAAATTCTAGACAATTTTTGTGAATAATGAGAGATTATAGAAAATACTAATTGAATAAGATTACTTATTTTCAGTGATATAAGATTTTATTTTTATTTTCTTAATCTGTTCCTAAACAGCTAATTAGTTTACTGTTGAATTTTGTTTCGATTTTTTGTCTAAGTTATTTAATAATAAAAAAACCGATTCTGGAAACATCCAAAATCATGATTTTAAATGCCAACTTTGCACTCAAACTCAGTAAATATACGTCGTAGTAACGTTTTATATGTCTCAAATGAATCCTAAAAAATGAGTCCACAATACTATATATTGAATTCAACCAGTCACTCCCTTAAAAGATGAATAAATGAATGAATAATAATGAGTTAAAGAATGTGTTGAATAATAAAAAGAGATGAATGTGTTGAATACTAAAAAGAGATTAATAAATGAATGAATGAATAAAAATGTATTTAGATATATTGGAGGAAAAGTGAATAAATGAATGATTTAATAGGAGGCAAAAAAGGGTAAATAAATGACGACGTTATGCAAAAATGACGTTCTAGAAAGAAAACAATTTTAAAAATGAAAACAGTTTTAGGTAAATTGTTTTATTGTCTAGTTCCATTGTAAAGTCAGTAGTTACTCCTCTCTCCGTGAGTTCAATATTATCTGCAATATTACTGCGATATTATTAATTGATAATAAAATCAAAATTATGGATGCAAGACTGCAAGATAATGCGGGAGATATCATTATTAATTATAGATAGATAGATATATAGATAGAAAGAAAGATAGATAGATAGATTGATAGATATATACATATAGATGGATAGATAAATAGATAAGAAAGTAGAAAAAAGAAGGATAAAAAGAAAGAAAGAAATAAAGAAAGAAAGACAAAATGAAAGAAAGAAAGAAAGAAAGAAAGATATTGCAGTTCAAATAAATTGAAAATTAGAATGCAAGTTTAACCCTTTGCTGGGTATTTTCTGAATGATAATCTCCGGTTTTCAAATGTAAACAGAATGCAGAATCTATTTATTTGTTGCAAGATAGATTTTACGTCTCAAGGTATGCAGGGTCAGTAAAGTTAAATATTTTTTTTTCGCGGATTTTATTGTTTTCATTTGTGAATTTATGAGTTTTTTAAATCAAAATTTTTGTAAAAAATTTCATAAATTTTGATTTGCTGTTAACCAATTCTTTTAGGTTTACAATATATGTTGGGCCCAATCGGTTGAACCTTTTCAGACATTTATTTTTTACAAACAATCAAAGAAAGACCCAGACAGAGAGAGAGAGATAAAAGTTAAATATAAATATTAAACATATATATATAAAATCACATATAACCGTTTTAACATAATTTTGATGACATAATCACGTACTTTACTCTCCAAATTATACAAACCAATGAAAACTTCATTTATTTTGTTGCCAAATCTCAGATTTAAATAATACAGAGTAGAACCATACAACTGTGGAAGAAGAAGACGACCATTGGACTCAAGTCTTGCTTTTAGTTAAATTAAAAACAAAACATATCCCACCGCCTCAATAGAGATGGTGGCGTTTATTTCCATTTCTTTCACGTATTGTTCCGCGTGAACGACTCAATTCGTTCGGTTTTTTTAAATCGTTAAAAAATAATTTCTTTCGTTTTCAAAATTTTCGCTCATATTTCATCTATTTTGTTCTTTTTTCTGACTGAACGATTGTTCAGTAAAATCGTTCGTTTAATAAGCTCTTGCTTTCAGTAAAATCGCTAGTTCAATAAAATCGTTCGTATAGTTCAGTATTTTTTTTCATTGCCCTAAACGATCCAATCGTTTGTCTTTCGATCGTTTTTTATATGAACGACACCATTGTTCACGAAAAAATTAGTTTGTTACAAAAAATATTGTTTGTTTACAAATATGATGCCCCAACTCTTGGCTTACAGTATTTTAAACAAGAGAAACGTACAAAACACAACTGTACTTTTTTATTGTTGAAAAATATCACTTCAAAAATAACCTTTGATTAAAGGAAAAAATATGAAATTAAAATTCTAATTTTTTTTAATTTTTATTTTTTTTTCGTGTTAATTGTCCTACACCCTTATACCGTCCCTGACATATATTTCTCCACATATCCTTCTATATTTGATAGATAGGTATATTTCCAACCTTAGTGTTCTATATAGATACCTAGATAGATTAATAGATAGATATAAATAATGAATATATATTTGATGTGCAATATAGATAACTAGCTGGAGAACCCGGCGTTGCCCAGATTTATTTTATTATTCATTGAGTTACTCCCACAGTTTACCTGAGCTTGGTATTATACACTATAGTTTCTGTAGAAGTAAATATTTCCATTTACTGATAGCGCTGATTGAAGGATTCATATCTCTAATTGGATAATGAGATAGAAAGATAGATGTTACCGCCATACTATTCATAATGGTTCAGAATAGACAACAAACACATGACTGAACCCTGATTGGATCAGTCGCTAATGGACTCGGCATACAGAAGTGTACTTTGTGATTTTGGCTAAAGTGCCCTGCGCTGCGCTGCCCATGAATTTGTTTTTGCATTTACCTTTGCATTTCCTCCAAAAATACTTTGCAAATATAAAAGATTATCTAGAATCTGGATTAAGATTTAGATTCAAACAAATGAGAGTTTAATGGGTGTATAGAATAAATGTTGTGGTGAGGTTGAGTTAAGCCCGTGGTTAGCCACGAAACAATGCGCTATATATTTCAGTATATCACCTATAATTTAACATTTACAAGGGACAGTGCACTATTTGCTTAAAGGACTTACAAAGGTTCATTTCTTGCCCAGATAGTGAGTCTTTACCACAAACTCTAATTCGCGTTTCTTTATATCTCTGCAACCTGATGTCGTAGACCTAAGATATTCCTAGCTACGAATTCTGTCAAATCATATTATCTCTTGGAAACGTCAAAGGTAAACCATCATGTTGCAAAGATATAGGGATTAGAAAATTTGAGTTTGTGACAAATACTCAATTCTTCAGTTTCTGAATGAAATTTAAATAAGCTCACCATCGATTCAAATGCTTTTTTGGATTCAAATTTTTAAATTCCTTTTTTAGTTTGGAAATAATAGCTAAATCCATTACTTCTTACATAAACATGTCTTTCTTTTAGCGAACGATTAGAAAGCTCTAATGCTCGAAAACAGAATTTTTCTTTTATATTTCAAAATTTCCTATCGTTTACTCAATTTACAAATCCCTTCAATTGATTAAGTAATTGCTGAGTAAAACCAACAAGCCTTAAAAAAATCACATATAAAGATATATTTGAAATCTCTTTAAATTCATATTAAAATCACAATTTTATTCTGAGCTTAGAAGAAGGCTGAAAGAAACTACTAACACTTTTCTTCAAAGATAGGAGAGCTGGGAATCTCGTGTCACGGTTAGATCCCGCGTTTTTAGATGAAATTGTTTCCCGCATTTTTCCAGTTGGAAAAGTGGGAAGAGTGGGTGGAGAAGGGGTGACTAAGGAGAGGGAAGGGGGAGATGGGAATATTAAAGGATAAGCTTTGGATTTTATCTCTTCTTCAGGTTCCACAGTCTAAATAAAAATAAAAATAAAAATTACAGAAATTTTTTTATTTCTCAGAAAAAAAAATCATTATTAGCGCCATTATAAAATACTGATTTTGAAAAATTTGGTCAGTTTTTATTTTTTATCTTAACATTATTCATAATTTTAATTAAATGCTAAATATATTCAGTTTATTTATACCGCATAATTTAAAACGTGTACGGATATAAAAGCATTGTAAATAATTTTTCAAGAAGATGCGATAAAAATATTCATTTTGTTTTATAGCATTTGGAAAAAAAAGTTTTTTTTCTCACAATATATTAAACTTTTATTTTGTATGTCATGAAAAGGGAAAAATAGTTTTCAAGAGTTAAGACATTAAGGACTTAAACTTTGGCAAATTCATAGTTTAAAATATCAAAGTTGTACAATGTACAACATCAGGTTGCAAATATGTAAGGATACATATATTAGAGTGTGTAAGAAGTGTTCAAGTGCTTAATAAGTTTAACCTCAAGCTGTAGAGTCGGAAGAGACTTGGAAACATTAAGCCGTTGTTTCATTAGTTCCCTGCTGTTGATGTAGTTGTTTTTGTTTACTGATCTCTGATTGGTAGGTGAACCCCAGTCCCAATCTGTCCGGGAATACGTCTCCAGATATTTCCGACGACCCTAAACACAAATAGAACAATGTTACGTACAGTTAAATCAAAGTGAATAAATACTAAAGTGGGCAAAACTCATAGTTGGATGACGACATTTTATGTCCCAAGTATTTGAAAAATAATATATTTATATAAAATTGGTCTGTAGGGAGTGCACAGTATAGAACAGAAACTGGACTCCCTTTGTTTACAAACATCTCCTTAGAATTTTTATTTAACTTAAATATAGATTAACGTAAATTAAGAAGTGAATTTTAGCCATTTTACTGCACATTAATAATTTCAGACAGCACAATAATGCCATCATGCATAGTCTGTAAAACAAGGAATGCAGCATTTTTGAAATCAAAAAATATCTCTTGGTCTTCACTTTTGTATTTTGACAGATTTAAGAGCAGTTGAGAACTATGACATTGCTTTAAAGATATTAAGAGAGGCGTATTGAGGTTTTATTTTCTTATAGAATTAGAAGCGCAAGCCTGCCAGGCAAAAACAATGAATTTATTAAGCGACTTTTTAGTATTTGCATAAAAAAAACACATATAAACATACGAAATTTTTTTATTTTTGATTATGAAAATTTTGAAGTTCTAGCTGAAGACGACATTTACATGGGTCCTTAGTCTATTTTTTCTATTCTTTACTTTTCAAAAGAAATCTTTTCATGCAATTATTTCCAAACCAAATAAAACCTTATGGCCCACCCTGTTGTCGTTGCCTTAGTCTGTCCCACTTTAATATCTATTCACTTTGCAGTTAAATGGACTATAAACGTAATTTTCAGCGCGCCAAGCATCTACTTAAAAGTGGTATAATTTCCAAGTCACCAGGATGCTCAAACCTATGGGGGTTTCACCGGAATTCCGGGTTTTGGCTTATGTAGCGAAATAATCAGGATTTTTTCCTTATTCGTTATGGAAGGTGTTCACTAACTCAGGAATTCCGGAGGATTTTTCACTATAAAACAGAAATTTCCGAAACGTTCCAGAATATTATGTCGAAAATTTCCGGAATATCGTTCCAGATAATTCCGTTCCTAAAAAATCCGGGAAAAATCCTTCCAGAATTTTTAAACCTTCTACAAAATTTTTTTTTCTGACAATTTCAATATTTCCTTAGCGCAACTTCGTAAGTCAATTTTTTACTAGCAAAAATAAAATAAAACTTCTGTCAAAATATTTAAACTTTACACATTCTAATTTTCAATAATTCTGAATATAAGTATTTTCTCTAAAAATGAAATTAATAATTGAAGTTTGATTTCATCTGATCAAAGTGAAATAGGTTTTAAGTCTTACAAAAAAGTCAGATGTGAACAAATTAGAACAATAATTTTGCCAAATACTTTTTGTAAAACTTAACCTAAAACAATTACTTTAAAGTGTTAAAATGTAAATTTCTAGGGCTACAAATAGTTACAAGCCAGTTATTTAGGCAAAATCAATTAAAGCTGCCAAGTCAATGTTACACTTTAAAGTCAACCCAGTCTGGAGGAGAAAAATAAGTATTTTCCACATAGCCTAATATCTTTTTGGCCGAATGTCGTATAACTTTGATATTTCAAATCATGAATTCCGATGTATCAAATAGTTTCTGTTTAAAATATCAAAAGTTTGCACAATCAGGTTGCACAGATATAGAGATTGCAAATTCTGAGTTTGTGACATTAATCTAGTTCCTTTTTGTAACTTTTATACTTTATACATACAAAATATTGCTAACAACCCTTTTTTAGAATGTGTAATGTTCATTGTGCGTTCATTGTGAGATGAGTTGGCAAACCGGAGAGTAAACTTTTTCTTTATTTATATTTTACTCTGCAGTGTTTAGCCAATTATGTAAATTGCTTTGTTAATTTATACTCGTATACTTAGGTAGGAGGATAATACAAACACTATATATATATATATATATATATATATTATATTTATTAAGAATGAAAGCCTCACTTCAAAATATCAAAATAATTTCATATTTTCAAGTTGATTTGCTCAAAGGAATCAAGTCTTTGCCACAAACTCAAATTTCTTATCTCTTTACTCCTCCTTAGATTACTTGGTCTCTAACAGAACTCATAGTTTGAAATTTCTAAGGTTTAGAGCTACGACTTTGGGTTGCAAAGATATAGGACTTAGAAAATCCGCGTTTGTAGCAAAGACTCAATTTTATCTTCCTCAGATGATGATAGATTTAGAGGGTAAAGTTTTTCTATTTTGATGCAAAAATTATCAGTTATGATCGTAAAATCATTTACTCCGATTATATTATAAATAATTTTGATTTTAAAAACCCTATCCCTGCTGGGGTACTTGAAAACCAGGATACGCTGGGGGGGGGGGGAAAAATTTGACCCCCCCTCTAAATCCCATGTTTGATGTCCAAATATGACAAATGATACATCATTAGAAAGCTCTTGTGCTCTACTTTTAGAATCTGCAAAAAAAATTGCAAATTTGCAAAAATTGAATTTTTTATCGCAAAATCCAGTTATATAGTAAAAATGTGTGCAAAAAAAAATTTGTCAAAAAAATGAAAAATTATACATTTTTGAAAACCCCTTGACCATGCCATTTCAAATATGCAAAAATTTTTGCAAAATTTTAAATAACCTGATTTTTAATCAAGAAAAACTAAAGATGTGCAAATTTCCTTTGACAGGTTGTTTGCAAAAAAAGTTGCAATTTTTTTCGCAAAACTTGTGCAATTTGTTTCCTTTTGTCAAATGCTTTCCAAAAAGCTAAATTTTATCAAAATCTGATAAGTGAAAGTGGGTCAAAACAAAGATTTAGTTTGTTACAGGAAAAAGCAGTCATTCAGGCAGTGTGCCTAAGGACTCCGGCAGTTAGTATTAAAGTCCTGTTTTAGGCCTAAAGGGAGGGCTATGGGTATGTAAGAAAAGTCAGAAAATTTCAACAGCCTCAGATCAATACTTTTTGAGTTATGTAAAAAAAGTATAGGGGGGGGGTCAAATTGGCCCCCCCCCCAGCAGGAATAGGGTTAAGTGAAATGGGTCTGTTTACATTTACGCAACAATTGCTATGCATCATGTTTTTGGACTATTTAATGTGATATATTGAGTCTAAAAGTCGACTTCCTATTCACTGTATGATAAATAATTAACTATTTTGAATCAAAAATTATGGATTTTTATTATAAACAATAATCTGCTTTTTATTAAAAAATGATTTACACATTTAATTACGATAAAATGATGATTAGAATTGGCACTAGGGACTCCTTGACCTGTTTTATTATTGATGATATCTATAAAATGTTTAATGGAACCTCATGGATCAATTTAATTAACTTCTGATATATCTCGAGGCCTTGACCAGATCTAATTAAAGATTTTATATTTATCATGTTATTCAGAATAAAAATATAAGTTTTAAAGGGACTGTGATTGTAATTTCAAATGACCCTCCATGCCAAGATGACAATCTGCAGTGCTCGTATTATATGAGATGGAATTTAAAGAATTTGAGCCGCGGTTTAAATCTGCCAAAACCCGGTTTAAATTAAACGCCGGCTTAAATCTTGAAACATTTGATACAATTTTAAGTGGAACCAACCATATTTAAGACGCGGATAAAATTTAAACCGCCGCTCAAATTCTTTAAATTCGGCCACTGTTACCCTTAAAATATTTGTTTGATCAAGTACTACGAATTAGATATCCATGTTTTGTTTCTTTAAACTGGTTTATTTTGTGAATTGCTCATTAATTGAATGTAAATCAGGCATTGCCATCCTTGCATTTTTTGTGTTTTCAAATTACGCTTACATTTCCCTTACATTTCCCTTACATTTCCCTTACATTCCCCTTACATTTCCCTTACATTTCCCTTACATTTCCCTTACATTTCCCTTACATTTTTACATTCCCTTTACATTTCCCTTACATTTCCCTTACATTTCCCTTACATTTCCCTTACATTTCCCTTACATTT